GGGGAAGGGGGACGTGAGGACATGAGTCGTCTTTCTTTCCGCCTGGGAAGAGATGGCCGCTGTTTGGGGTGGGGTAGCCCACAGGGCTCTGTCCTGCCTGTGGGATGGGGCCACCGCAGGTTTCCTCGGATGGCACTCCCAAGGTGCCAGGGAGAGTGCTTTGTGCTATGAAGACCGAGCTGGGTCACACGAGGCTCTGTTACTAACAGAGTTTGTGCGCTTGAAATAATTAGTCACAGGCGTAGCTGCGTCTCATGTGGTAGCACGTCCAAGGTGGCTTTAGGCTCATGCGCTGCGGTACTGTACAGCCTGTAGCCCTTGCAAGCAGGGAGCTGAGCAAGCACTGCAGCGTTATGTCTGGAAAGCTGCATAAACCGGATTCTGCTGTTTTCCTTCAGCTGCCAGTATAAATCCCTATCCTTAACTGGTTTGTCGCCTGTCATGTCTTTCCATGTGACGAGTCCCGGCAGAGGGCAGAGTAGTCACACCCGAGCCCTTTTACACGTGAGGAGGAGTTTTCTTCATCGCTTCTATTTTGTGTCTGCTGAAAGCGTATGAAAATGTGAAAACATCCTATCTTAAGTCCTATGAACTAGCTCATGAAAGACTGGATGGCTAAAACACAGTAATAAACTACCGATGTAAGGCTGTGCGGGACTGTGTTTTTTAATACGCTTTGGGAAATAGGAAATAGAGGCAGGTGAAATGTGTTGTCAGTCTTGGAGACTCACATTCTCGATCCATAATGGAAATGTATCACACCCAGTTCAGCGCAGTTGTCTTCAGATTGTTGTAGATGTGTTGCAGACTGGAAGAGTCTCATCTACCAAGGCCAAAATAAATGCTTTCCAGTTCTACTCAGCTATAGTTGGACGCTTAAAAAATAATTACTGTGGATTTGGTCTGTTGTTTTTGAAGTACACATCTGTACAAAAGGATCACAGCAAAGAGAGCTCACTCTTCTCCCATGTGGGTCATGGCAGCCTGTTTCAGACCACTTTTCTAGGCGAGATTGAAACTAGCAACCTCAAGCTGCTAAGTTCCCTGTTTCCTATGGACCAGTTCCTATGCGCTTACTTTTGAAGTCTTTGAACTCTAGAGCTCCAGGCCTTTGGCCCATCTAAGTCCCTACCTGTTTATCACTACTCTTCTGTCAGAAGTTGCTGTTCCCACAAGAGAGAGAGTTCAACAAGGTATGTTCCTGAACCAGCCCTACTGCAGTGCCACCTCTCGTGGCCTTGCTTAGGATCACCAACTTTGCTGTTGCGACAGTCATCTCCAGGAGGGTCTAAAGCAAAGTGCTCTTTTAAAGCAAAGTGCACAATAGTGGTAACTTCTTCACCTGACACAACTGGTTTTACTGGAGCCTACCTATCAGTGCTTTCAGGCATAGATATAAGAAAAAGGAATATGTCAAATTCTAGCCTAACTTCTTAGCAAAGACAACAGTTACAAGGTGCAACACTTCTGTTGCAAACAAAGATCCTTTTTGTTCCAAAGAAAGATATAAGTACATTTGGGGTCAATTTTGCAGACTAACATTTATTTTAAATCATATAATTTTGGGCAAATCTCAGAGAAATTCCTTTAAAGAAACCATTGACAGCATCTATATAGTGTGTTGTGAACATATTGTCATGTAATATGTATTCATTGGTTCCTCTATCAGATTTCTTACTGCAGTGTCTTTTCCATAAATTTTGAAACATGAGTTTTGCATTTTGGAAGGTATTATGATAAAAATTGCTCATGTTGTAAAGAGAATACACAAAGTTTTATCAGCCGAAGAATAAGAAAACATATGCTATAGTAAATGTCTTTCTGGGTGACTGAGATAATTGTTACCATATTCAAAACACCTGCCTGCTAAGTAGCAATGGGTTAAAAACATCAAATTTCCATATTTTGTTTCATCACATTATGAAAATTGGATGCTTCATTGATGATGATAATAATAATAATAATAAAAGAATAGTATTTAAAACATATTTCATCTACATAATTCAGTTCAGTATCTCAAAGTCTAAGGATGTCCTAAATGGGGAGCTGAGTCTGGATTCCACTTTCCTTTATACAGAAAAGAAATTACATTTGCAGATCTGGCAAACGTCATAGATTTTCTCGATGACGTTCATCTAGTAAGATTTTCTTTACAAGTCTGTACATATTTAAAAACCTGTTTGCATTCACTTTTCCCTTCATACCAGAATCATAACTTTTACTCATAGAATCATAGGGCTGGAAGAGTCCTCAAGGCAGTATCTTAAATATCCATGTTCTCTTGACAGGCGCTTCTCTAACCCATTCTTAAACATTATCAGTAAAGTTGATCCCATAATCTCTCCAGCCAATCTAGAGTTTCATATGGTTGCTAAGCTTTTCCCAATCTTAACTGAATAAGTCCATTAATTCCTGTCTTATGCAGAATAGATGCAGAGAACAGATTGTTTCCCATCTCTCTCCAGCAGGTACTTGCATATTTCAAAATAAGAATTCTCTCTGCTCTCTGCTTATACTTTTCCTCTTTAGGAGAAACCCATTAGTTCAATCTTGCTTCTAGTTCAAGTCTTCTAGATTTCTGATCATCCTCATGATTCTCCTCTGGACTGCTTAAAATGTAGTGCTCAACATTAAACATAATACTGCAAGTGAGTAAACCAGAAGGATTACTATTTCATATATCTTGAAGGCTGTATGCCTATTTATATATCTCTGTATACTTCTCCTTTTTTTTGCACATTGTTGATTTAATTCAGCCAGTGGTTCACTCTAATCTAAGATTTGTTTCTGCAAGAGCTATTGCCTGGCAAGATACTTCCAACCTGTATCTTTGCAGTTGACTGCAGTATTTTGCATTTATTCCTACCCATCCTGGCCCCACCTTATAATGTTTTCATGTGAACCATGCTACTCTAGTTCATTTATGTGAGAGTCATATGAGACATTGTCAAAAGTTTAATTACTTCAGATATATGAAATGTACTCCATCCTTCTCTAACCACAGGCCTGTTTTTGTAGAATGAAATTATTCTGACTTGACTTGTCCTGGATAAGTTACTGTTGACTGCTCTTAACTGCCTTGATTTCTTTTAGGTGCTTACCAAAACTTGTTGATTATTTATTCCATCATTTTTTCCAGACTTAATGGTTAAAATGATGGTCCAAATGCATCTATATCAACAGTTTAGCTCAGATCAAGAGTGTACTTCTGAACTGAGTCTCAAAGTGCATAAGCTGCTAACGGTCACTTAGTTCACAGAACCACATTAGTGTTAATCTGAACTAAACTGCGCAAAGGCCATTTAGCGTGGACTTTGGGTACTCAGAAGTAACTTGGCTCTACAAAGCTGCCGTTATTGTGTCAGACTACCTGTTAAAGTAGATGTAGCGGATAGTTCCCAGGCTCTTCCTTTCTCCCCATTTTTAAAGTAGGCAGCATTTTTGTCCTTTCTAGTTCAATAACTCTGGTTCTGAGATTTTGTCAGCCAGTTATTTCTGTACGCTAGGATGAAACTGGTAACTGAGCCTGTTTGAGTACATGTAACTCACCAGACTTGTAACACCTGACTTGCTTCTTCCGTAGTGGTACTGACATCTTGCTGCTGAAGGGACTGTTGGTGACAGTGCTCAAAGAGACAGGAACATCTGTTATTCTTAATAATAGAACAGTGGAGAGCAAAACAAAGTAAGAATTTTATTTTGTTATCAGGATGAAACTTTTCATTTCTTTGGAACATATCCTGTTTCACACAATCATGAAATGGCCTCCAGGCACTGATTTCCCAGTGTGGAGGAAAGGATTTCAGCTCTCCCATCATTACTAATTAGCGCAGCACACATTCCCACATCAAATACTGTGGTCACAGTCTTGTGACAGTACAGCCTGCCTGTCCCTTATCCTGTCATGTCCAACTGTCTCTGAACAAATAGGGCTAAATGTGTTCATTTCGAGGAAATAATGATATATTAACAAAATTAGTGGGAATAGATCTATTTTAAAAACATGTTCCATGCCATATGATTCCATTGAGGATAATAAAATTTGTGAATTTCCTTTCTGGCCACAGTTCAGTTGCTCTGAAGTATCATATTGTAGTCTCTCTCGGGAAAGAAGCCCATTCATTCCTGTTTGTTTGTAAGAGTGGGGAGACAAATGACCAACATTGGAGGTATTAGGTAAGTTTGTGTTCAGATATCACTGTAATCACGATTAAAAAGCAATCATCTACTAACAAGGACCACACCTTGGAATTAACACAATGGCTATTAATCCCCTGCACGCGTAGGACAATATTTTGGTATGCAGTATGTAACTGTCATTAATGTATATCAGCCATGGCTGAAAAGAAACCTAACTCCTAATGACAGCTGAGGTCTGATTTCAAACCAGCACCCTCTGAACTGCCAGTCAGGAGATCTGCTCTGCCCTTTCTACCATTCACACTAATTGTAACACTGTTCTCAGTCTTTAAGATAGGAAAAACATAGGAAGCTCACGTTTTAGCTTCGTGAGAAATGCCTTCTGATATGTTGACAAAAGCCTGGCTCCTTAGATAACAATGGTAAAAGAGCATTGACCTAACTGGGGACAGGACGTGATTTTGTGTGCTTGAAGTGAGTTCCATTTACATGAGTAGGACCCCACAATGATCAGTGCAGACAGACCCAAATGCAGGGAAGGCAGAGTACTGCCTTCTCCTAGGACATACAGAACAATGAATACTGTAGATACATATAAGATACTCTCAGTGGAAGCATGTAGTGGAAGCCTGTGATAGAGATTTAGGGATACACTGTGTCTGGGTGAACTGGAAGTTACTCTTTCAAGGCCTCTCTACAGCAATAGAAAAGTTCAGATGTCCAGGTCTTACCTCTCCCTGCAATGAACCATGCATAGCTCCGATGAAATCAGTGGAGTCATGCTCGAGTCAAACCACTATAAATGAAATGAGGAATGGGCCTCAGGAAGTAAGGCAAATCACCTGTTCTTGTTATTGGAAGCTTCATGCAAGTCTTGGGATAATATAGTCTGTCTATCCATATGAGTTAGATAAATAAGGGTTAACATTTATTTTTTAAAAAGGTCAAGGAAGTGCCCATGGCTCTGAGATTTCTATAAGTCATCTCTGAAAAGCAGATGGAAAGGAGCATGATTACTTAGAGTTTACACTTGACTTGGTGTATTACTCAGACTTTCTACACAGATGACATGGAACAAACCACTTTGCTGAAGTATACTGAAATACACGGTTGTTTAATTCAATGTCTGGTGGATGGATTGTGTTCCCTTTGGCCATCTGATGGATACAGAAGAAATCAGAGAGTACTGCAATGTGTATATTTAAAAGTGATTTCAGACAGCTGAACTGAAGTCTTTATTATTATTACTAAGACTATTACATTATTTGACAAATGGTGTTGACATTACGTATCTGGCTATAAAGTAATTATTAATTCTTATAATAACAACACTAATTTCACATTTAATTTTGACTGTAAGAGAACCTAAATCACTCTGCAAATCAAGTCCTTGATGTTGCAAATGTAAGTGCAAAAATTATACATATGCTTAACTTTCCATACCATGACTTAGATTCATCCTACCTAAATGCAGGCATCTAAATGAGGCAATAAGCTGGAAGCCTGAATACCTCAGGTTCTTTGTATAGCCAAAAGGGAAAGATACCTTCAAATATGCTTCAAATGGTTTCTTTAGGGGATGGTTGAAGGCACCTGAACTTTGGATTGCCCTCCAGATAGGTGGTATTCAGCTCATGCATTGCAAAATTAAAATCAGACACAAGTCTTCACTAACAAGATACAAATAGATGTAGAATAGGGTGACTAGAGAGGGGGTGAACCTGTTACATCAGCAGCATGACTCTTGAAAAAAGGTTTTAGGGGTGCTGGTGATCCCATGACACTCATCTTTCTCAGATGCGAAGTTAGTGTGTCCTGATTTCACAGGCAAGGCTAAGCTCATGGCCAGATTGGTAGGCGACAGGAATTTTCCCCCAGTTCAGACTGGCCAAGTTCTTTGGGAAATTTCATGGTGGTTTTTGATTTTTCTTCTGTAGTATTGTTTAGCTATGATCCTCCCTAAAATCTTCTGATCATAAGTTCCTACTTAAAGGACTTAGTACGCAAATGGTATCTTCTTCCTGTTGTTAGTGGCTTTTAGTCTTTTGACTCAAGAATCTTATATCTTGGTACAGGCAGGAAATGTCATGGTTTGGCATTTTGGGATTTTTTTATACTAACCCTTTTTCACACTCATGACTAGGTGATTTTTTCTAGCCTACTGTTCTTACATCTTCCACCAGCCATCCTATGGGAGGCCAGCTGAGGCCCAAACACATGAGGAAGTTGTTGCCAGCTGTTAAAGTGAAAGACTGAAAAGCCTATATGGTTTCTCTTCTTAGACTGAAACTGTGAAAAAAGTCTGAGGAAATGGAGTTCTTCAATTAAAAGACGCAGAAACTGAGAGGAGATGTGATAATAGTCTTCAAATAATAGCTGCAAGAAAAGAGAAAATAAACTCTTTGTCATGTCAGTGTGTTTAGGACAAGCAGTTACAAGCTTGAATTACATCACAGGATACTCAGGCTAGCTATTAGAAATGGTAATCAGAAGGGTAATTACACTCTGCAATATATTACCAAGGGGAATGTGACATCTCTTTCATTGGCAGCTGACACCGGCACAGAGTTAGGATTTGTTTTAGATATAGTTGCTGCTGCCTTGGATCACAACAAGTGACCTAAACAATCTCTTTAGGTCCTTTCCAGCCCCATTTTCTTTGATTTTTTAAAAATTATGACTCGTAAGGAAGAAAGTCTAGCCAAGAAAACAGACAGAGAAAGTGTATTTTATATGTTAGCTCAGTCCTTTCATAAATTGCTATCACTGCCAAGCTGTCTGGCAAAAAAAAAAAAAAAAGACAACCCAAATTGCTATCATACACGTCTCAGAGATTACAATAGGGATGAAATGAAAGAGGTAGTGGGGAGCCAAGGGACATGGGAACACAAGTAAAAGATACTGTAGGAAAGTTCAGCATCACAAAACTCAGTGCAAGATCTTAGAGAAGGGGAAGTTTATATTTATTTATAAAACTTCTATTTAAGTTGGTGTTATGCGCTAAATGTTCTCTCATAGATTACTCTCAGTCACGCTCTGATATCACATACTAGCACCAAAATGTGTCTCTCTGGCAAGGATCGCTTGTGGGCAACAGAGACAACAAGGGACACTGGCTATTGGGTCTTCATCTCTCTGGGGTTCTTCTGGATTGACAACAGTGAACTCCTGGACAGATCTTCCATACCCTGTAGGAATGAATACTTTTTGCAGGCTGGTCCTTTGCTTCAGGATCTTGCTTACTTCAGTCTCCCTAAATCTTGGGCACAGTTGCTGCTTGTTGTCTGTTTTTTCTTGTTTGTTTGAAAGGTATGTCTGCTTTCCTGATGGGTCAACAAGAAAATAAATGGTATGTGTCATATGCTGCAACCTTGTTGCCATCCTCCTGCTGTTTGGGTGCAACATCTTCTGCTGACCAGTCATTTGTGCAGGGGTCTTAGCAGAGTGCAGGCCTTCTGGGCTTGACAAAAACATCACATTACTCAATTTTACTGCTGGGAGCAATGTCCTGGGAACACTGTCCAGGGAATGGCATCCTTTGTTATTAATACAGTCTATTCTTTTAAATTCTGTCCTGCTGTTTCATCTGATGCTTCCACACACATGTGTTTCTATTCATACCGTGTTCATACCACTCTTAATATTTTTGTTAAAAATCTCTACAAATTCAGCAGCCAGCTGACTCATTTGATCTGTGCACTGGGTCATTAAGCAGTTTATCTGCCTGAGTTCATAAACATCCTCAATCTGCGACCCCTATATGCCCCAAATATATTTATCTCTTTATGAATTGTATGTGCATTTTACACAGTAACAAATTCTTCCACTTGAAGCACAGGATTGTGTATATGCCTCCTTTTTGTCTGACACTGAAATCCCTGATTTTTTTACTCTGCTAAGTGCAACGCTTTGCAGGTCACCTTCCCAGCTGAGGATAAATCTTTGATGTGCATTTGTGGCCTAATCAGAACATAGCTTGCTTTATTCAAACCTAGCCTAAAGCAATTTATATCTTGCTTTATCTGAAGCAAGTAGATTTAATTATAGATTCATATAGCTTATACATCTCCATCTGTCTCCTGTGGGCTCTCCTGTTATGAGCTCTTACCTGCTCATAACCTGGCATAACCAGGCATAACCCAAAATTAACAACCCAAAGTAGTATTCACACTCTTATTTTTGCAGCTGATGGGAACAGTGCCATCTACTGACACTATTTAACAGCATTAACACCATACCATATGCAAGCAAGTAACATCAGCTGAGAAAATCATTATCAGAGACGGAACAAGAATTGAAGAGTTATAACTTTGCTTAAATTACCTTTCTAACCCTAACAGTGATGTTATAAATTTGTCCACGAAGAACTAAATAATATCACCAGCTATTTTTACTATAGATCGGTTGCCAGACAGTTATCTATGATTATTACCCATAAAATAGCCTCTGCAGATGCCATTATGCTATTACTGTTTTAAATTTCCACTGAGTGTATTTTTTAATTTTTCTTACGGTTATGTTGAATTGGATTTCCTATAATTTAGAGAACAAAACTTACAGAAATAGACCATATGGTAGCCTCCCTTTAAATGAAATGAATCACTTGTACAGGCATGTTGGTCTTCCTCCTTTCAATGTAAACACCCTCCCTGTATCTAGGCCTCAAGCTGGATGGGAAACAAGCACAGTAAAGTGTTGTTGTTTGGACTGGTTCCTTTTCCCAATCTCATTGCTGACTGATGACCCACAGAGCAAGCCTTAGATAGAAAGCACATGCACAGCCTGAACATAATTTTGCAGGGTCAGATAAATAGCCGTCTTAATAATTTTTCTATGAGCATGTGAACTACAGAAGGCTGTACAAAAGATCAGACAGAGATCAGAGTTTCCTGGTGCCACCTTTGTAATTCATGCTATTAAGAAATCTACTTCCCACTCACCATTGCTTAGGCAACAGCCAGTAGCGTCAGAAAGTTCTTTCTCTCGTGCCCCTGTGTTTAGCTAAGTGTCTTCTCAGACCCAAAGATATTTTGTGTCACATATCTGTAGGGTCACTTGCCTCAAGACAGCTGCTGAGAAGATTACAGAGCTCAGGTCTGCACGTACAGTCTTCCTGTTTCATTACGAGGGAAACTTTTGACAGATGGTTCTCACACTCAAACTAATAGATTAGCTAGTAGTCATTTAGGACTACCCGCAGCATGACGTGAGCCACTTTTTAGTCAGAATTACTGCTGGGAAAGCAAAGTCATTGAATACATATTTATAGAGACTAATATACAGCTGTGAAACATTTGTGCTAGTTTTTAATTTCTGGTTTTAAAAAAAAACCCAAACAAGAACTACACTGATTATGGATTAAAGTATTATGGATTAAAGGATTTTGTTAATAAGGACATAGAACATTCAAAATATCCAGAATGTAAAATAATTTTATAGATTGCTTTCAAACAGCTTCAACCATGTAGTTTTGATTAATTTAATGATGGCTGTGGTGACTTTAGGTACCTGACTGAGGGAAAACAGATAGCTAAGGTGACCAATAGGGCTAAGATGACTAAAGTGAAGTACCTCAGGTGACTCATATACCCTAACTTTCTCCTTGCTTTGTCTTGGACAAGAGTTGGACCTGTGTCCAACCTCTAGAAACCTCTGCTTTCTGGAGGTAGGCATTGTCTATCAGCAGGCCTCAAAAGTAGACCGTTTATTTGTGGGTGGGCCAACAAGATCCCTGAATATAGTTGATTTCAGTTTG